TTACTAGTGAACAAAGGAAAACAGCAGAGAGACCCAGCAGCTGTTGCTTGGAAGGAAGAGGGGCTCAGCTTTGCATGACATTCAGATGCAGTGACTGTACACCCACCGGCACGGGGCTGTCCCTATGCTCGAGCCTCTCTTCGGAAGGGGGACAGGGGTCCTGAGCTGTCGAACTGTCAGAGGAAAGCTGCAGTCCGGAGGGGGGGGGGAAAAAAAAAAAAGGTCACATGGCATTAGCACGGAGCATTAGCACGGAGCATTAGCACGGAGCATTAGCACGGAGCATTAGCACGGAGCATTAGCACGGAGCATTAGCACTTGTCTGACATGAAGCCTGCCATTCCCCAATGATCTGCAGACATGAGCAGTGCCACCTTGTCTGTGCCCCTGAGCCTCTTGGGAGATTCCTCTGATGGGGGCGGAGAGTGTGGTCTCTTGGGTGCAGAGCTGGTGCCGCCTGTACCGTTCACTGTGACGGGCTTGGTCGTGGGCGAGGTAAGGTGTGGGACACCCCGACTCAACAGCATGGGGATGGAGTTCCCAGCTGCGGGGGGAGGGGGGACACTCTTGTTAAACTGCATTTCACACTACACACGAGCCACTGAAAATGGTGGTAGCTGGTACGTACTTGTTCCAATCACCGGGATGGACATGCCTTGCTCTGGGCTAGGGGAGGAATTCTCCTTCACTGGAGAAACTTCACAAAACAGAGGTACTTGTGGCTTGGGTGGCGAGATTCTGCGGGAAGACAGGATTGGGTGACCCTCACAGCCTGTTGGCCCAAAACTAACTGGTAATGAGACACACAGACTGAGGTGAGAGCCAGAGCCAGTACCTGTCCTCGCTGTCGGAGTCTGCCTTGCAGGGCTTGCTTACGGGGGTTGGGGAGCTGAATGGCGTGCCGCAGTCCGTGTCTCTGGAGCTGTCTAGCTGGCTCCCGTCCAGCGAAGTGCGTTTCGATCCTCCGTTGGAGGTGCGGTTTATATCTGCCAAACTCTGAAGGGGGGGGGAGATGTCTTAATGATACATTAACATGCAGCATTACTGTACAAGGCGGGTAGCAAAAGAATGCTGTCAGTTCCACAAGTCGATGCTTTGGGCTGCGGTCTCCTACCTTCTTCTTCTTCTGAAGGACCTCTGGGGGAAGATACTGGTGGAGCTGCTTCTTCTTCACATGAGTTGCTTCAATCTTCATGCCTTCCTTCAGCATGTTGATGTTGTTGGCCTGCCTGTACACTGAGGGGAGGGGCAACTCACAGTCAACTCCATGAACGACTTCTGCAGACTCGGAACCCATTTTTGACTCAGAACCCAAAGTTAAGCTGTAGGAGCCCAGGTTCCGCCAAAGCCGATTGCTGCGATCCCGATAACAGGATCTACAGTGAAGCTCCATTATACGATACCGTAAAATGGACAACGGCAGCAGTGGGAAGGCTACCATAGTACATAACATCCTCCCGCACTGGGACCACCAACATAGAGGGTTCAAACTTCCGAATAAAATAAAAATATGCAGAATAGTGAGGAATAAGGAGCCTTTTGAGACACACAACAATAGAATTTGCTGGAGTCACAAGTGAGTTTTAATACTTCGTAGCGTTTTACACCGAGATAAAACTTCTAACGCGTGGAGAGCATGAAAGCAGGAATAATCCCATTTTAGCAGCACCAAATAGACTGCCTTTCTGCGATCCGCACGTCGCAGAGCTTTAAATAGGAGTGGCGTGCTTACCAGTGTCTGTGAAGGCCTGGATGTCGTACGTCAGGTCGATGTTCACGCTCTCGGGGGTCTCCACTTTTTTGAAGATGATTCCGATGAACCACATGGAGACAAACTCGTTCCTGTTTGATGGAAGGGTTTTGCAGGAAGCCAAGTATTTCTCAGAATCCAGCCTAACGCTTTTGGCCTGTGACAGCTCACATCATAGAGTGTCTGTACATCATAAGCACCTTTACAGGGATCCTCAATGTTAGAAACTATGTAAAATGAACGGCAGCTCTAGTACAAATTAACCTAAATGGACATCATTACATGTATTTGAAAAGGCAACCAAAATTGAAGCAATTTGCAGCCATTAAACCCTTGACAAAATCTGAATGTCAGGGTGCGACTCCCCTCACCCCCCAGGTCAACAGCCAACCGGTCAGCCACTGCATGCTCACTCGCTATGGCTGTCCTTGCTCCCAGGGAATGACTGGGGATTGACATGAGCCAGAGTGATGTATTCATTACGCTCCAGGTTCCCAATCAGCACCCTTATCTTGGACTCCACAAGACCGATCCTGTCGAAAGAGGAAAGCAGCTCATAAAAATTGTCGCTCCGATCAGAAACACAGCGAAATTCAACAAGCAAAAGTTCAGGTAACAGAGGGAAGGCTTGTGTACAAACAGCTCTGTACAGAAGACCAACCAATGAAATAAACTCATAAACTTTCTTGGTACCTAACATGGAAGGTATCCAACTACCAGGTAGGGAAATTAGCGTCATTTAAATATGACAAGAGCCAGTCATGTTATATTTACAAACTTATGAAGTCACCACTTTAGTGAGTAAAACTGTATAGTTCAGTTTCTGTCTGAATTTAAAAGAGGGCGATGTGGTGACTAAGTGGACCACTTGTCACCCTTGACATTTACAGATACCACACATCTCTAAAACATGAAGAAAAAAAAAAGCTAACAGCACATTACTTTGATGTCTCATCGTCAAAAATGAGAGAGCGAAATCCACAATGAGGTGACATGAGTAGTGTAACAAGCTGAACACCCACATCCAGAGCAAAGGTTCTGTGCATTCAAACAGAAGTAGACCAAGGTTACAGTGCCCCCATGTGGACACACTGCAACATATCCAATATTTTGCACAAATTTTCACAAATTCAAAAGTGATTTTTTTTTTCTCCAAAGTAATATGCAGGATAAAAAAAAAACAACTAGAGGGAATGGCAGCATCTTAATACTACATCTGTGAAAATCTCTGTACTAATTAAAGCAGACCAACTGTATGCACAGACTGTCAAAGGCACTCGTGGAAAACTGACCACACAACACTAACAGACCACAGTATGGGCAATAATATTAAACCATGACACTCTATAGGAAAATTACATTTGGAAGATGGGATGACATACATATTACCATTACTAAACACAAAATAACACGCGGTTTCCTGTAAGGACGTACGGCTTTGCTCAGGGATACCACAACGTCAGGCACTCACCATTCTAAGTGGTTCTCCTCTGTGGACGCACTGGCAGTCAGCACAATATAATGTCTATAGATAAAGAAACAAACAGATTCACTGCAAATGACCTGCCGCCCGCAGGACAGACTAACCAACACGTCTACAAGAGCAGCTTCACGGTCAGCGTCCATTAGACAGGCACGGAACCACCTGGAACAGCTGACAAGCTTCAGGCTGGCAGATGGTTATGCGTGGGGTGGGGGGGGGGGAACGTACTTGTATTTTTGGAAAAAGTTTGGTGGCTCGAAAAGTTTCGGCCACTCAGCCTTGCCACGCAGAATTTCGTCAGTGACGCTGAGACCTGCCAGGGGTGAGCAACGCAAATATGTTCGTTACCAAACACATGCAGAATGAAACCAGGGCTCAGTAATGCTGGCACAGCAGCATAAAGCGAAGCAAATCACTTCAAGTACAGGCTGAAATAAAACAGAACAGCTTGGCAGGTCCAGACCTTCTGTACTCAGTGCTGTTCATACAAAGTTATGTTCTGACCCTGGTTACCCACATTTCAAGACATTTGTTTGAAGATTAAAGCCATTTTGCGTTCACAGCTCGGGACCATTTTAAGAACGTGAGAGACACACAGTCTGAGGCTGGCGCGATGTGTGACATTAATATCGGTTAATATCGACATCGCACATAATGCACATGCAACCGTCACATTGCAAGGGCTGAGATAGTCAATTGAGTTGAGATTAAACCTGGTTTCATAGATTATACCGCAGTATATGATATTTTGACAATATTTTCAAAAGCAATGCTATTCTGATATTTGAAACAGCGTGTGGGGAGGGGGGAGGGGCTCCACAGTAAGATTCACCAATGTGTCACAGTAAACAAAACTTAGCGATATTTGGCTATAGTTTATTTCGGCAAATTTTCAGCTCCTTCTTATGCTTTATAAATATCGTAACATTTGTCGCAAAGAAATCACATTGCGATATTTGAATATTTTCCAATATTGGGCAACCCTAGTACTCACACCCTTGATCCAAAATATACATACGATCTTCTTCTTAGTCAATCCAATTCCAAGTCACATTTGTTTTAAAATGTATTTTTTCTACGTAATAACACTGTCACTAAGTGTACAAAAACACTTATTAGACAAGGACAGCTGTTTAATACATAAGAGGTTTTATATTTCTCTAAAAAAAAAAAAAAAATCAGCAAACAAAGTAACCAATGCTCAGATAAATGACAGAAGTGGTAAGTGCAGTGCTACCCTAATAATACCACGAAGCAGGGTCATCACTGCCCAATAAAGTGCTAAAATAAAAGACCCATGAAACACCATGGGGGGAAACCCTGGGTAAGCAGGTAGACAGAGGATTGGGACACCCTGAGAATGAAGCCTTGCTAATGTTATACAAGGTTTCTTTCCATTTACAAAGCAGGTCTCTTCGGTAGCTGGAGAGTATTAACCGGACTGTCAGCAATCAGGCTAAAGGGTTAAGAACAGGAACGCTCAGGACGGACACGACACACTCCCACGCACCGGTTCGGAACTCCTCGCTCATGATGGTGCGCGTGGAGGTGGAGACGTTGTAGGTGGAGTTCTGCTGAGGGTAGGCGGGTGTGATGATGGGCATGAGGTGGTACCTGTCCGACGGGTTCACCTGGAGGAAGGAGGAGAGGAGTCAGCGGCTGCCCTGGACGCTACAGCGCCACGCGAGCGGGATAACTCACCCGCGGGTCCCAGACGGGCAGGTTCAGGTTGCTCTCTTCCGGTTGCTTCAACAGCACTGCGTTAGGCCACTCCCTGAGGGGCAGCATGGGATGGAGGGGGATGGGATTCTCACAACATCCATCCGGGAAAACTATCGATCACCAAAAGAGTGACTGACGCAGACGGCCACTCACCACTTGGAAAAGACGAGGAAGAACTTGTGCACCAGTGTGGCGGCCACGGCGTTTGGGTACAGCTGGCAGGTTCTGGCCACCAGCATGGCCCAGGAGACGCCGCCCAGGAAGCCCAACATGTTGGAGTAAATCCCACGACCTGGCACACATTCAAACATCAATAACTCTCCCTTTTATATATAGTACCTTTCCATACAAAAGCACGTACATTTAAAGCAGGAAAAGCTACATCACTGCTAAGTTTTGCAGGAAAAAAAAAAAAAAAAAGACATCTAGGGAAAGAAAAGCTCATGATCAATTTGTTGGCCAGCCGAACCAAAAATAAGTCAAACAAACAAACATTCACAGAACAAGTCAAAAGGCAACCGGCATAAGTATTGGCGTAAACCATGGGGGTGATGGGAGGGTTGTAAACCCCCCCCCCAAAAAAAATAAATAAATTATCAAAACCAGCCTATACAACCCCCTTACATGGATGGAGCCCCACCAGTGCTCAACCCAAAGCTCAACCATAAACATCTTCTGGAAAACATTCATTGGATTCTGAGAGTTGAATGTTTTTCAGTACGAGTTCAGTGAAATGGTGCATTTCAGTGCATTCAGGGATTGTCGAGTGGCGTCTTACTTACGTTTGGCCCACAGCTTAATAGCTCTCAATGTAAGCCTGAAGTTCTCCTTATTTGGCACCAAAGACAGGATTTCGTCAGTGACCCTGCAACCTGAGGGTTGAGCAAAGCGACATTAGGATGAAATTAGGAGTCTGGGTGTGCAGGATAGGAGAGATCAGCTACTTCCCCAACCCCCAATCAAAGACACAAACATAGAGCAAGAAAAAAAATTGCTCCCACAAGGGACACTCAGAGAAATCTCACCGTTCAGACTGCGGATACAACGGATGTCGAGGTTCCTGAGGTGAGAGTCTCCACGGAGGTCCAGATTTTCAGGGATACATTGGAGAGCCAACCTCGCGAATAAGAGATCGATCTGCATGAGTGAAGGCAGACTGTCAAAAGCTGCATCTTTCCAAGAAATAAGCTTAAATACGGATTTGGGCGGCTGTGGCCAGTAGGAGCCTTACCTCAATCCCATCAAACTTAAATTTAATAACTGGTACGAAAGCGTCTTCAACGGCCTGGAAGGAAACAATTTGGAAACATCTGTCAACGGCACAGCTGCAAGGCTGGCAAGCCGTCACGGAGTCTACCAGCATGAGGAACCAACGTTTACAAGCTCTCACCCTCAGGTCCTTGATCTCTTCATGCTTTTTGAGTTTTTCAAAGAAAGACTGGAAGAAGTCTTCCCTCTGCACATGACGGGGAGCCACACACAGAGCGTCGATGTCCGCTCCTGCGTGGAAGACAAACGACGGGTCACACTGACGCCTCAAACCTTCAAATAGGCCCCTCTGAGCTATTCAGTAATCCCTGGCTTTGAAATCACCTCATTTATATTATGGTTTTCTGCCAAGTTTCTGTTCTGAGCAATCTACAAAAATACAAGCACTGTAAATTACCAATACAGCCACAAAAATCCTATGCACAAAGAAAATATGTTTAAGAGCATTTAATAATGTATTATGTTCCCAAAAATGGCTCTCGTTCCTCATACCTTTGGTGTGAACTCCAAGTCTGTAAGAACCAAACGTAAAAATGTTACCACCCACGTTTGCTATTGCTGAAGGTGGAAGATCCTGTAAAAAGAAAAAAGACAAGGACCAAGTATGCATGAGAATTACTTGAAATCAGAATTCATGAAAACTGAAAGCACCTTCTTATTTTATAATCAATACAAGGTTGAGATTTACCAATGCCACAATGGCACACCAGAACATCTATGAAATGTAATAAGTACTCTAAAAGGCACAGAAAAAGAAAAAAAAGATATTTACACATGCTACACTGGTTTTTAGGAAACACACATAGTTATTGGCATCACATTTTAAAAAGTGTAGATAGATGTAGAAACTCATGCTATGTGTATGACCAGGGTCTGAAATTAACACCCACCAGGTGCCAAATGCAAGCAGGATTTTCCATGTACTGAGTAAATCCCAGAAGACTATCCGCCACATTATTGGGTAGATGTTTATACCAAAAGTCAGGTAATAACACTATCCTGAGTTTCTCAGGATTTACAGGCATTCTGCTTCTGTTCATCGGAGTTTCTCACACACACACACACACACACACACACACACACACACACACACAACACTCTGTTAAGACCCACCCCTACCCTAACTTTCACTTGCTGCCAGTAACTGTCCGGCTAAATGAAAGTAGGGCTACCAATAACGACTATTTTTCTTTGGATTAATCTATAGACTATTTTGCTGACTGGTCGATTAATCTATCATTAAGTATTATGTTCAAAGGTTAGTAATCTGTATACATCTGGCATATGCTTACAAAACTTGTTTAGCGGAGTGTGCCACATGCAACTGTTTAGGTACATCATGGAAGAGATAAGCACTGAAGTCAAGAAAGGGACAGATCAGCAGCCACATCATCTTCTAAAAGAGGAGATATTGTGGATAAACAAGATTAAAAGATGGCAGTGTGCTGGTGCTTTTTGCTGATTAAAGTAAACACTTTTCATTTTTATTTCAGTTCACAAATTTTCCTTTATTTAGTAACCGTTTTCGTTTTAGTTTACGATTATAACACTGGGCCCAACAAGCCCAATGTGCACAAACACACACCGGCACCATCAATCCATGCAGAATAAGCCCAGATTTTACCCTTAACATTTTCTCAAATACTTCTAAATTAGCTAGCAGACAAGTTTACGGCTTTAATGATGAGTGTAATGATGCAGCTACAAGGACAAAAGATGTTAAAAACTCTCTGTACTAATGGTAATTTAATAAACATGAATAGACAATACTTATGGCTGTTTTGCTTATTCTGGCAGTCCAGAATAGCTCCTGTGCGTTTTCTCTTCAGGCACTCATGCATAGCACTATGCCGCTGTGGTATGCCATTGAACTTCGCACAGTGTAAAAACCACCTTTTTTATTTGTGATAATTTGAACTATTCCCATAATTACAGAGAGATATCAAAGGAAAACATGTTACAATGAAGCGTTTTGGAAATCATAATGATAATGTCATCAAAATAATTTTTAAATGATGCGTCGACGTCATCGACTATGTCGGCTCATCACGGCAGCCCTAATTAAAAGTGATGTGGCGATATTTACAAGGAGTAAGCAAACCTTTAAAATGAAAGCAAATGTGACCAAAAACAACACCATTTATTATTTTTGCTGGTAAATGAATAGGCTTGGCTGGCTGATTTCTTCATTTAACAGCCACCCTGGCCGGGGAATCAGGAAGTTCATTTTGGACCCTCTGTATAACTAAAGCTACGTGCGGCATGCAGGCACCTGAGACTCTTCATTTACATATCAGCACCAATAATATCAGCCCTCATCCCACACACTGCCTGCTTTCACAGTATAATGGAGGGAAAGGGTTTGTATAATACTGGCAACAAGTGAATACAAAACCCTTCAGTTGCTAAACTTGGTTTAGCAAAATTTTAAATGCCCGTTGCCAATTTCACGACAGACAAAGCCTTACCTTCTCTTCACTAATCTCAGCAATCCATTCCCTGACCAATGAGTTAAGCTTTCCCAGAACTGCCAACCTGCAATTATCAAGATAAAAGAGGATTATCATAAACCAGCTGTGGACTGGGCTGGACTTCTGGGTGTAAAACTGAAGCAAGCTGGTACCATGCCGTACTCGGGGCACAGCTCATGCACAGGTCAGTTCCTGTATGATGGCGGAAAAGCACTATTATGTTACCACGATTTACTAATCCCCCACCTGTGATTCTGCTCAACTTCATCCTCAAATACTCCAAAGGGCTTCATTGCCTCTATGAGTTTCTGGGTGTACATGTGGTCAGATTCCTTAGGGTGTGCCAAGCTGATGGGGGATGTAACTCCATAGTGTTTCTGAGGCTGCTGTCCACCAAGCATACTGGTACGGGACCTGCAATGTGAAGAACAGGGATCAACTGACTGTACGCTACACGCAGGTAAATGACACTTGGTGTCTGTGCACAAGTGCACACCGAACTGCGAGTGACCCGGTACACTTCATTAGAAAGCAGAAACCAAACAACACATCGTTTTGCACTTTAAAGGTGAAAAGTGACTATTTAGCAAGTGTGACAGAGCTGTGCAGTTATTTTCATATTCACATTTATTCATCTCCTAAAGAAAATACCACCCACAGCAGGAGTTTAATTTGCCGGACAAACTGCATTCGAAGTCGTTAATGCATCAGGTTATATGTGCGATATAAACGCAGTCACACCTATATTTTGCCAAACTGGATAAAAAGCGGTGCGATCGCATGTGCCACATAACAGAAAGGTACCAAATGTTAGCGGAAGAAAAAGCAAAACACCCCCGGATCCCCGTGTACCACGCCCCACGGTCCAAAACGTCTAATCACACACAAGGCAGCGAGCGGCTGCGTTTTAATACATTCAGACAAGCGGACGCCTGACGCCCCTGGAGATCGGCCATCCCGGATGGCGGTTTCCAAATTCGGCCAAAAGTACGTAGCCGGTGGGCTTGGTCAGAGAGAACAGGCGGATGAAAGACGCCCAAAACACAGAGAAAACAAAACAGATCAGGCACCGAAACATCCGAGTCGGAGACAGGGGGAGGAGGTTAGCGTTAGCACACCGATACAAACACCTCGTTACCTAGACAGAAATCTGAGTTAGGATGGTCTACAGATGGGAGCCAGATTAAAAGGTTTAAGCATTTCGACTGGTGCCAGGTAATGAATCTCGCCGACCTGTTGTCAGACCATCGGCCAGTCCGTCGGATGGGCAATGACCGCCCGCACCGCCAGACGGACGCGTCGAGAGCATAACCACCCGTACGGATGCCAGACGACCGGCAGCATCTTTGTCCTCGTCTCCAACCACGTAAAACACAAAGAAACAAGCCGTGTCAACTCGAAGGTCTCTGTCAACGGCGCCGTGTTTTTAAAACTAAAACCCCGTAACCGCTGGCTGGGTGCGCCGCTAACCGCTCGGCAGCAGCCTTAGCATTAGCGTGTTTGCTAACCAGCTCCTCACACTCGGTGACCGAGATGTACAACGGAGGACTTAACCTTAGCGGACGAGACGACAGCCACTTACGCTGACATTTCTTTCATGACCTCCTGATGATTTGTTTTATTTCACTCGCCCAACTGGCAATTTTAAAGAAAACATATACGCACAGCCAGCAACAGTCCAGTACGAATTTATAACAATAGTTGCAGCTCCTCCAATATGGCGCCCACCGGTTCTATCTATCCCGACAGCCTCAGCGCGCCCTCGCTGTCAATTGAAAGAAAAAAACTCAGTTCCCGTAATTATTTATTTTATTTCTTATCTTATTGGCTCATGTAAAGAGGTACAGCGTGGTTACATAACGTTACAACCATTAAAATACGATGTCGTGGTTTGCCACTTACTCAGCGATGTGTGTAAATAAAATCTCAGCTAGGCTATATTATTTCCCAAAACATTAAAATAAATTTTGCAGTGTATAGTTAAACGCAAACGCCTAGGCTTATGGAACCTGTATAGAGTCTGAAAGGTATGTGTGTATGTGTGTGTATATATATATATATATATATATATATATATATGCGATAGGTATTCTGTGCATTAATGAAATACATGGGAAATATTGATGAAATTAAAAATATTCATCTTAATTTATTTTTGACATAATTTCCTTAGACAACATGCAACTTGAGTAGTAACTTAAATATAAAACGAAACATTGTAACTACGCCATCTCACATGGATATTAACTTATTTATTTATTATTATTTATTTTCTTTTACTTAGAAAGGTAATAAGACTGGATAATTATAAAATTGCGGATCTTATGAAAAATATTCAATATTAATAATCATTAATTAATGTTAATATTAATGAGGGTTATTACAAATTAGAAAAGCATTATGCATTGTAGTTATAATACAGCGCAACAGTCACCTGATTTATATCAGACACATCTATCTCAGGCAGGATTTTTTTGTGTCTATGTCTTATTGGCAAAAAAATAATGCATGCCACAAAACAGATGCTATGGAATTATTAATAATGTACATATATAAAACAAACAAGAGAACAAAATTTAATTTTTATACCAGCTTTTAATAAATAACATTATTCTGATCAGTATATTCAATATATACAAGAACTAAAAGAAAAAGAGGTTCTGAATCTCTGGGAAAGAACTGGATCATCAAACAAAATGTGTTCGGTATCTATTAAAACGGTTCATGTTTAGGACATACAGTATTTATTTTAGTATTACACTGATACACATTACTCTTAAGTAAAATAAACAAAAGTTAAGAAAAAATATACAGCTCTGGAAAAAATTAAGAGACCACTCCATATAAAAAAAAGCTGCATTTTTAAATCCTGGTTTAATCGTGGTTCTGCTGGCAGAAGGCTACACTGAGCAGCAGGTTGCTTCCAGGCTCAAAGTTTCTAAGACAGCAGTACACAAAGAATAAGGTGAAGCAAGAGACACTGGGAACGACCAGAAGCCAGCCAGGCAGAGGGCAGAAGCAACATTCTAATGCCAGAGATGACCGTCAACTTCTCTAGCAGTGTCTCATGAATCGTAGGGTGACATCAAGTGACCTTCTAAAGGAATGAGAAACATTAAGTACAGGTGTGAAGTGCACTGCTAGGACAGTTCATATCAGGCTCCTAGAAGCAGGAGTGAAGTCCCATAAAGCAATGAAGAAACCCTTCATTCATGAGAAACAGAGAGGAACCAGGCTGCATGCTATATCCCGTTTTGAACCAATATGGGACATTTGTTTCGTACTTTCTGACCACGCGATCTTGAGTTTGATTCAGTATTAGCTTTAGCACGTTTAACTAAAGTACGATTTTTATTCATGCTAACGTGCTCCTATAGTACAACAAATAGAGCGTCGAGCTAGCGACACAGATCAAGGGGGTAAAATCCCCGGTAGCATACATAAAGTGTAGTCCTTCCCTCAACTGTAAGCCTTTCTGGATAAAAGACTTATATGTAAATGAACCAAATGTACTGTAGACCGTGCACAAGGGGAAAAATGGGTTCCGTGCATATCATTAGTGTGTCTGTTACGGTTCTTACTGTTCTGTCATAGAAAAAGCTGGGCATGGTGCGAAAGAGAAAAGAGAAATAGAATATAAATATTTAAAAATATAAATGACATTTTCAAACCTGGACGCTAAAACATACAGAGGAGTACAAGTAACCACGTAATAGGTGGGGAAAGATTCTGCAAATCGTCTTAGTGTAATGAATACATGTATTTTCAGGTGTACATATCACAACCGGAACTCACAGCATTCACACATTTATTAATTTACAAATTTCCAGGTGATCCATCCAGTTCTTCAGAAATGATATAGGCCGATGTGTATGAGTTTTCCTTTAGAACAGTGTCCCCCCCTTTTTTACAGGCAAATGTAATTTATTCTATTCATCAGATGTTTTTTTTTTTATCCGAAGTGGCACGATGAAACAGTCCACGGAACGATTGGGGGCTCAAATGCCCAACGGTGACATCACTCTGTCGACCCTGGGATTTGAACCGGCAACATTCTGATCAGTGTCCTAACCTGATGAACCACACATTCTTATGATTCATTCTTTCTGATGATCCAAACATTTTTCACAGTATACTTGTTTTTCAATGGATCAGTAAAACAGTATAACTGTACAAGTGCAGTGAAAGTTTCACAGTGTTGGTAAATGACACATCAATTACTGCAGTTTAAAAACTGACTTGGGGAAAATAATGCATGCAAAAGAAAACTGATAATAGCTGATTTAACTGGATCTGAGAGTTCTCAAGATCCTGTCTTGTCTCTTAGGTATAGGTATGGCCTTCAAACATGCAGTATTTCAATAATTTCTATTTTATAGGCGGGTTCTAACTACACCATACGTTAGAAGGGACATTTTTGAGAAAATTTCTGAGAATGTTAGAAGGCCATGGTAACAGTTTGAAGATCTGAGAGAAGATCTGAACAGGCTCATTGGCACCTGATTAGATTATGGGCCTAATTTATTTCCATGATTATATATTAATTACAGATGCTCTTCGCAACTATTTAAAATGTTTTCACGCCTCGTTGCGGTGTAACAACCTTTCCATGTAACGTTTTCTGTAACACTCATAAGATACTGCTTAAATACCACTGTCACAAATAAAATGGTGTTAACGTCTAGGCATATGATTAAAAAACATTCGCAAAAACATTCTGAAAGGCAATATGATGTTATTCATCTAACACGACATATTAAAGATGGAATCTCTTTGACATGGTTAAGGTCATGTTTTAGTACTTAATTCTTTACTGAGCCATTAAAAAGCACGTGTTTCGCTTTAAATGCGTGTCAGTGTTAACGATTAAAATGTCGCTGCTGCATTCTCCACTGACGTCGAATGGTCCAATCGTTTATTCATTAGCTTATTTCATTCTTTCAAATCCATTATTCTCTTATTATGTCTTCTCTTTCTGATTTGTTCTATGGCTGTTCCCGCGTGTATTTACATAATATGTGGCATTCTAATTTATTTGATACTCCGACAAAACAGGCCTATTAATTAAACCCGAGATCGCTATGAAATTGTTTTTGTTTTTCTGTTGTGACAAAAGTTATAAACCAATAAGATTTATGCGGAAGAATTATTAAGTAATACGACCCTATTGGGTATTTCACTACAAAAGTTATTACTGCTCTCCTCAATAGGGATACAGGTGAAGCGCCATCTTAATCACAGTTTATGGCAGGTAATGTCGTGGGGTTTTCATCGTGCAATAATTAGAATTGTATGATTTGCGGTGATTTTATTCATAACAAATCCGCCAATAAAAATCTTTGACAGTTAATTCATAAGGGCATAACTGCGTGAAACTTTTTTGCGCAAAATAATTACAGTGTAGCGATGTATTAAGTTACAGACATGCGGAAAGTCAGTGACTCGTTTGTGTGAAAACTTGCTTTCATATCGAATTTTTTGTTGTTCTTGTAATGTAAAAGCAATGTAATGGTACATTACTAACGGATAAGCTGATCCCTTATTTTAAAGTGAAACACAGAGATAATGTAATTACTGATGGAAAAAACAATAACAAAAATACCTAGGTGTTCTTTCTCGGACATTTAATGTCTGAAGGTATTTTTTATCATTATTGTTACTTTAATTTTTAATTAATAATATTTTTTCCCCGTCTTGTAACCGATTACCCTGATAGTGGTTACGGAGTTAATAACAACAGCAATAACTATACAAAAAACAATAATTGGCGTCCTCGGATTCTGTTATTATTTAGTAAAGCTTATCTTTTTACATTCACTCAAAGTGCAGATAAAGTTTATTTCTGCAAAAAAATATTAAAGTCGATCTTTATTTTAAAAACATGCAATCAAATAATTCAGCACCTTTCTACATTACCACGAAATTGTATTTAAACATTCAAAACCAATACTACAAAAACGAAGTGAACATTACAGAATATAGTTTGGCTGTAAATCGTGATTACAAAGCGTAATTAAAATACACATTTTTGAAGTTTGTCTTCTATTTTTATGGACTTGTATATTAGTTTTAAAATTATTGCAAAATGTCCTTCTTTATCATCAAACCATTCTTTAATAAAACGTAAAACAAACGTAAAACAATCTATAGGGTTGTAACTTTTGTCGCTGATAATACTCATTCATCTACATGCAACGCTTAAAAAAATACAAATAAAACCAGTCGCGTTCTGTATCTTCAATGTCTTTAACCACTAAACACCTTTAAATAGATTTTATAAAGACTGAGGAATTTAAAATACTATGAAACTGTTTCGAGGTATATAAGAAGACAAAAGCCGTAATGACTGAATATCACTAAAATGATCCGACTTACTAATCAAATCCAGCACGAATAATGAAATATATCTTTTCTTATGAAGCGGCAGTGTATGTTCCTGTATTTTAAATCACGATTTCAACTTCTTGCTCTTGTTTTGCTCGGCCAAAAAACAGCTCTCCTCGAACGCTAGAGGGAGCTTGTAGCCTTGATCTTTGCAAATTATTTCACGTTCCGCCGGAAAATACGA